GCGCAGACGATCAGGAACGCCGGCCCTCTCCCACGCATCGACGACCTTCTTGAGCGATTGGGCGGCGCCCAGTTCTTCTCTAAGCTGGATCTCAAGTCAGGGTACCACCAACTCGAGATTCGCAAGGAGGATCGCTACAAGACCACGTTCAAGACACGGTATGGGCATTTCGAATGGCTGGTCATGCCATTTGGCCTTACGAATGCCCCAACCACTTTCCAAGCGGCTATGATGACGGAGTTCCGACACATGCTGGATCGTTTCGTACTTATCTACCTCGACGATATTCTGGTTTACAGCCGGAGTCTGGACGGGCATGTGGAACACCTGCGCACCGTTTTGGAGCGGCTACGACAGGCCAAGTACAAAGCAAACCGCGACAAGTGCGAGTTYGCACCGCAGGAGCTGGAGTACTTGGGACACTATGTGACGCCGCAAGGCATCCGTCCGCTTGCGGACAAGATCGAGGCCCTACGAGTATGGCCCGAGCCCACCAAGACCACGAACGTTCGTTCATTCATGGGGTTAGCGGGCTACTATCAACGATTCATCACCGGATACTCCAGGATTGCTGCACCTATGACGAGGTTACTGTCGCCAAAGGTGCCATTTGTATTCGATGACGACGCACGCCGGTCATTCCAAGCACTTAAGACGGCTATGCTCATGGCACCCGTCCTTAGCATCTATGACCCCACCCTGCCAACGCGAGTGACTACGGACGCTTCCAGCTATGACATTGGGGAGTCTTGGAACAGCACGACGGCGATGACTGGCACCCTGTGGAGTATTTAAGTCACAAAGTGCCTCCCATCAACTCGCTTGATGATGCAAGGAAGAAGGAGCTGCTTGCATTCGCGATGGCTCTCAAGCGCTGGCGGCACTTCCTCCTTGGGCGTCGTAGGTTTACATGGGTCACAGACAACAATCCATTGACCTACTACAAGACGCAGCAGCACGATCGGACGATGGATGTACTTCATCGACCAATTTGACTTCACACCGAAACATGTCCCCGACTTCTCCAATCGCGCAGCAGATGCGCTCTCGCGAAGACCAGATCTTTGCGCTATGACATATCATGCCTTCGCATTCGACGAGGAGCTTCAACGACACTTCATCCGGGCATATCAGTCTGATCCGTACTTCGGCACGCTCCATGCACAACTATCTTCGTTTCACCCGCCGGCCAGCCATTTCCGCATTACCGACGGGTACTTGCTCCTCCACTCGAGAGGCAAGGACTTACTATGTGTCCCACACGACCGTCGTCTTCGGACTCGCCTCCTCGGCGAGTATCATGATTCACGACTCGCCGACCATTTCGGAGTCAACCGCACTATTGCACGGCTTCGACAACGATTCTGATGGCCCGACCTCATTACCGATGCCACTCGGTAGTCCGACTCTTGCGAAGTTTGCCGATGCAGCAAGCCCCGCAACCGCAATCCCTACGACGAGTTACACCCGATGCCTATCCCACGGGAACCCGGTCTCTCCATTGCCATGGACATCACCGGTCCGTTTCCTCGCGACCGGCTCGGGCACAACGGCATCCTCACGGTTGTGGACCGATTGAGTTAGTACGCGCGTTTTCTCCCTTGTCGGTGCGAATACCCTTACAAGGGTATCCGCCCTGGGTTTTTGCAAGCGACAGGGAATAGCTTGGTTTGAAGTTTAAGTATATCGCGCTAGGCGCGGCTGCGGCTGTGAGTTACGTTGAGAGAATGGTTGACTACAGTAGAGAGTGTGTGGGCGCGCAGATTTAAGGTGCGCGTGATTCGCCTTTGTTGTTCATCGTAGAGCCGACACTGGTATCAGTCGTTTTGGTTAACGATATTATTAATATTTATTTAGTTTTGATTAAGCAGGAATGAGGGATATTTTCTTTTGATTGGTACGTTTGACCGAGGCGAGAGCGCAGGCGTGGAGGACGGCGTCAACAACAGTGTGGCTTCTGAAAGCGTTTCGGTAGGGCGGCGCTTCGCGCAATGTCCGTTTTATTTAGGCGTCCGTCAGAATCCGACCCAGACTCGGGCCTAGCATTATTGGTTACAACGTCGGACTTCTATCAGGGAGATCTAGGGATCGAGGCTGAGCGGCGACAATGTGGGACTATCAGAGTGGCGCGAAGGGACCGAGGGGTCGAGGGCCCGGCGGGGCTATCCCCCTTGGTTTTGCCGCCGACAGCGTTAGGACGAGGCTAACATTTTCGTTTTCCTCGTTTCGTCATACTTTGACAATTAAAAGTTCTGAATAGTTTAATTTCGACCGTATTATTATTTTTGCTTTAGTATCATCTGACTCAGGCGAGACGCCAGAGTTGGAGGTCGTCGCGGCAGTCAAAGACCTCGAGAGCACGCCCCCTCTTAGCAAGCCCGTCCGGGTTCCGGCGTGTCGGGGGTTGGCGGAATTCCCCTGCCCCGCACGGCTTGGGAAACGGACCGAAAAGGTCGACGAGTGAAGAGTGGTGAGGTCCGTAGTTGTGGCCTCCCTCGCTTTCTACTTGGAGGGCGTCGATAATCTAAAATGGAAGGGAATGGGAGGAGACATTCCGAATGGGACTGTGGGGCTGCGGCCGGTGAGGTGGCGATGCTTACTCTAAGTGCGATGTCCACTTGCCGAGAGTCTGTTAAGAAAGGTGAGTGTGAGTATGCCCCTTGGGCCCGATGGACCTCATGGGTTCATAAGGCACCGCGCGGGAGCCGGCCCACGCAAATCGATAGCTGGATTCAAGCCTAGGGGCGGAGGACTAACCGAGCTGGCAGGGTAGCCGACTCCTATGGCAGTATCCCTAGGAAGTGGAGGCCATCGGGCAGGCCACTATGTTACCGGGCGCTGGCACTAGGGAAGCCGCTGAGCGAGTAGAGGAGTTCCGATTGGACCGGACGCGGATTGCGGCCGGATGCATGCAGCGGCCAGCTATATGCGGCCGCAGGAGGAGGTTGTGACAAGCGAGGGGAGGCGGTAGCAGCAAAGGAAGGGGGAGGGCTACGAAAACAGGAGGAGGTACGCGAGCCAGAAGGGGAAAGTAAGAAGGTCGGGCAGAGCCTGGACAAGAGAATGCATTAGGAAGCGCTGTCGGGCCGAGGGGAACAGCGAGGAGCCGAGCGGAAAGGGAAAACACAGAGAAGGGGGGGGTACGGATGAATCGAGACGGGAGTGCGCACGGGGTGCATGCGCGTCAAGAAAGACGATGGTGGGGCGAAGGCAGGGCGCAGTGGGAGGTGTACTACTCGCTCGATTCCTAATGTAATCGGGCGAGGTAAGAACCTAGGTCGGGGTCTTTTTGGCCGGCGGACTCGAATCCGTTGTTAAGTTTAGTGTTAGATCAGTAGAATAGGAGTAAGAAAGGAAAGACAGTGTGCCGGGGCTATGGGGGGAGAGGAATGGAGGGAGAAGAGAAACACATTGGTTACTCGTTAGTGGATGGATTTCGGTGGGGGAGGAACCGTCTCGGAGGTTTTTGGCCCTGGCGAATCCAATTTCATGGTCAGATCTAGTAGAGAGTGATTGAGTCTGGAGTTAGTAGGAAGTAGTAGTGCGCGGAGGAGAGCGAAGGGGTTGGATATGGCCGAACATAAAGTGGAGATTTCTCCCCCGACGCTGAACAGAAACGAACGAGGGAGGAGCCGTTTCGGAGGTTCTGCGGGTCGGCGAACACGAATATTGAGTTAGTTTATGAAGAAATTTAGTGGAAAAAGTTGGTTAGTTAAAAGGTTAGTGCGCTGAGATGGAGGGAACAAAGAAGGAAAGTGGTAGCTCGTTGGATTCTCGATAGAATCAAGAGGGGAGAGGTGTGAAATGGGGGTTCTGAAGACGAGCGAGAACGACTGTGAGACCGGATCGAGGAGTTAGTGGGCGGAGTCAGTAGTATGGGCGACGTGAGTCGAGAGAGGTAGGAACAAGTTGAATGCACCTGTTCGCATCCTAGTTGAAGATTCATTCTGAATGTGGTCGGTAGAACCAGTGTGAGGGGGGGGGATTGAGCTCGGGGAGCTTACCAATTGACCAGTGCGTTACCCACCCTATCAATGGGAAAAACCGCTCTCTAACGCACATTCGAGAGGACATGAATCTGGTCGCTTCCTAGCGGGAGATTCATTCCCGAACCTCGACCCTCTAGGAGACAGAATTACGGGCTGAAGACACGACCGACCGGTGGCAGGTGTATCACTCACCTTATTGATTGAGTAGCGGTTCCCGCTCTCACTGCACGTGCATCAGGAGGGTATGCACCCGACCGCACCCCAGTGGAAGATTCGTTCTGACCTTGGCACCTATGAAGGAGTCGGGCGCCTACCCGGCCGAAGTCGGATGCAGCAGCAAGGGCAAGAGGGCGCACGCCTTCCGTGAGACAGGCAGCGAGGAGGTGCTAGTTAGCGCATGAAAAAGGGGGGGGGGGGAACCGGCACATACCTGAAGTCCGCGTGCGAGGCGAGCCGGATGGGACGAAGGCTAAGGCCTGTGGATCAAGCGAGGCAGCTACGGGAAGGCTGCAAGCTTGGAGAGTTGCCTGCTAA